GAGGTGTGGACTTCGCCTCCCAGAATTCTGGGAGTTGAAGTCCACACCTCTTCAAGTTGCCAAGGCTGAGAAACACTGCTCTGAAGTATAGTGAGATACCATAGCTAGAATCCTTTAGCATTGCTGCTTCTCCCTTTGGAGCGTATCTCTTGTTCATGAGTTGATAAAAGTTTTCAGTGGGGCCCTTTGAACGTAGTCTTTAATTCACACCTTAGGCCAGTTGTTTGCAGGTAGACCTCCTCTGTGGTACCAGCACAGGGGAATGCAGGAAACCCCCTGAAAATAATTTGACAGCATCTTTTACATGTTGTATCTGCCTCTTGAAGTCCTTTGTCCTTCTGTGTGCGAATGCTGGATTAATGGTTCCTCTGCTTTTGCTTTCCTTCCCTCTGTGCCCCCCCCCCAATTAATATGGCTTTATTAATGACTAAGTTACTACATGGTATTCGCTTCAAGATGCATTTTTGTAGGAAGTGGCATATGCATTTATTAATATCCACATTATACCGAAACATGATTATTCTCATGATTATTATTCCTCTCCTGGAGAGGAAGATATCAAAATGGCAGCACAGGAAGCTGTTAAATAAACATGACGTGAGGACGAAGGGGTGATACTGGGAAGAAGGCAGCTCTGATCTGGGAATGTGATGCAGTTCCAGGTTCTCCTGCAGGGCTTCTGCTATTTCACTGGGCCTCCTAGCATAACTTACGGGCCCCTGTGCCAGCCTGTGGGGTAGGCAGACGAGTGTGTGATAGCCAATCCATGCCATGCCATACAAGACTAAGAATCTAGCTGGCAGATGATACACCCTCTTCCTTGGGTGGAAGAGGCCTAAATGTGCATGAGATCAACCCGGCTGGAGTCTGGAGTGTGCTGTCCTGCCCCCTGCGTGCCTTCTTCCCCCTTCGTGATTTTCTCTGTTTGGACAGGATTCACAAATCCGGCGCATCTTTGGAACCATGATCAACCAGAAGTTGCAGAATTTTGAGGAGGGGGTGAAGCCCATCGGGAACATCATCACAGAGGCAACCGTGGAGCTTTACAACAGTGTTGTCCAGAGGTTCTTGCCCACCCCGGCCAAGATCCACTACCTCTTCAACCTCCGTGACATTTCCAAGGTAGAAGGAAGCCATCCTTGATCCTTCCCAGCCTACGAAGGCCTGGGGTCCAAGTGGTGCCGCTTCCACTCTGTTCTTGGGAGTCCCTTGGCGGGGGGGAGCAGGTGCTGCTTCACCGGAGCCGTGCCAGCCGGCCGCAAGGAGGGGGTGGATCCCACACAAGTTGCAGGCTGGTTCTGCCTCGGGCAAGGAAGCCAGTCCTCCTTAGCTCTCCACAGCTTGGAATCAGGGAAGGTTTTCTCTTTCCCGTTGCTGTGTTTGTCTACCTTCGTCCTGTGGTTTTCTTCCCCCGCTGCCCCACTGGGCGGGAGGGTGCCATGATGGGACCAAGCATCGCCAGCCTTTAGGACTGTCCTCCCTCGACGGAGGGCCCGCCCAGCTCTCTTATCGCAAGTGAGGACGCCAGAGTCGGGGCTCCGAGCCGCCAGATGCGTCCAAGGGTTAATGTTTCTGTACAGCTCCTCTGTGGATGCCCAGAGGCTGTGAGCATTAGGATTCCAGGCAAGCCAGAGATGCCGAGCGCACATCAAATGGGCACCACAGCTTTGGAGACATCAAACACTGCTGAATGTTTGTCCCAGGTCTAAGCCCTGCAGCTCTGCTTGCAAGCGAAGTCACGCGTGAGCCAGGCGGTGGCTGCCAACCTGCGCCCCTCTCCGCTGGTCACGGGGTGTGTCGGGGGCAGGGGCAGGAGGATCAGGGCCCTTTCTCCAGGACTTTCCCCAGTTTGTTTGTTTGTTTGTTTATTTGGATGATTATCGACGTCATGGTTACTCGGTTATTACTGAATGATCCGACTCATTCAAACAGGGCAGGTCCCAAGCCAGGCCATCGTATTGGACCTTTGGCCTCACTTGGCCTCTGGATCCCTCCAGCGGCCCCCTTGAACCGTCAGGAGTTGGTTCGATGGAAGCCAGGCGGGGGGTGGCAAGATTCTGGAAAGCAAGAAAGGATCTGAAGGTTTGCACAGGGTGGCAATTATGCCAGAAAACCAATTTAGTCGAAAAGAGGACGAAAAAGGATAACTCAGAAGATGATGTTTCCTTCACCTGGTTTAAAAGTGATTAATTATGTACAGCACCTACCCAGTTCCAGGTTCTTAGATAATCCAATTAAATAATCCAATCCAATTACATGTATTTTGCTTCAGTGAATCCTCCCCTGTATTGTTCCTTGTTAATTGTTAATAAATTTAAATAGAGAAGAAAAATAGAGCGCGAGGCTGGCCCGGAGAGGCTTTCCCGTTGGCCGTTGGCCGAGGCTTGGAAGGGGCATGGCCTGGGCGCGCCGCAGAGTGTCCTTATGGCCTTTCTCATCAAGTCCCGCCAGGTTCAGCAGCAGCGCCCAAGCCTGGTGGGAGGGCAGATGCGGGCAGTGCCCCCCTGCGACTAGCAGGAGCTGGCGGGGCTGCTGCTGGAGCTGAAAGGGGGCCTGTTGGGTCCCTTCCTCGCTTAGGTCTTCCAGGGCATGCTGAGGGCCCACAAGGATTTCCACGACACCAAAGCCAGCCTGACTCGCCTGTGGATTCACGAATGCTTCAGGTAGAACCTCTTGTCTTCCTCCTCTTTCCGGGCCGGGGTGGGGGGTCCTTTTCTCAATGGGGAAAAAAGGCAGCTTGGGAGGGGCGTGCACCAAAACCCTCCACCCCATCCTCCCCTTCCCGATGGGAGGCGCCAGAGAGCCCCTCCTGGGCTGGAGATAGCCTTGCAAGGGGCTGCTCGGGGTGCCTCACTGCAGCTGTCAGAAGGGGGCGCCAGCCAGGGCTGTGGCTAGGGGTCTTGCTGGAGCGGTTTAGTGGGGGCCGTCAGCCACCTGCAGGAAGAAGGGGCAAGCCCCCTTGGGCTTCCTCTGGGGCCAACGGTCCTGGAGCTCGTGGCTTCCTTCTCCCCAGGGTCTTCTCCGACCGCCTGGTGGACAGCGCAGACATGGAGACCTTTGTGGCCCTCCTGAGTGAGAAGCTGGGCACCTTCTTTGACCTGACCTTTCACCACCTTTGCCCCAACAAGCGTCCGCCCATCTTTGGTAGGTGCCAACTCTTCTCGGGCACCCAAGTGTGGAAGGGGAATCATTTTGAAGCGAAGCTGGCCTGGCCTTGCGTATGTGGCTAAGGCAGGCGCCCCGAATTCCCTTGGGTGGTGGCAAGGCTGGCCTCAGAAGGGGGGTTGGGTTGGCCGGGGGCCTTTCCATCCAGCGGCACCGGGGCTGAAGCCGAAACCCAGGAGAGCAGCTGCTTCTAAGATGGCACCCTTTATGCAGTTTTCATAAGCTCTCGTCGTTTTTAAATTTCATAAGGCTGGCCTGATTGACCAGTGACATTTGTTCAGTTCATCAAAGTGTCTTGAATTGATTAATCCTTTTGCTACCTTAGGTGAAGCGACCTGTGCGTGGTAACCTTGGGTGGGTAACTAACAGAGGCAGGATTGAAAGGGGAACAAAATAATAATAAATTAAGGCAATAATCCTTGTGATCATCCACCTGGTGTCCCCTGGGCATTATCAAAGGCTCTCAGTTCTTTGGGCTTTCACATCGCATCCTGGAGGGGTAAATAAAAGAGAGTTAATGCTTTGAGCACCAGGAAGCTGGAAAGCGGGTCTAGGGGGTCCTTGGGGCAGAACCGTGCCTTCTCCCCACAGAACAGTCCAGTTTTCTTCTTCAGGGGACTTCATGCGCAACGTGTACGAGGACATGATGGACATGGCCGTCCTGAAGGCAGAGATGGAGCGGGCACTGGGTGACTACAACCGGATGCCAGGGGTGGTGCCGATGAGACTGGTGCTTTTCCGAGATGCAATTGAGCACAGTGAGTGGCAGCTTCCAGGCACATGCCTGGATCTTAATTTCCCCATTGCAAGCATCACTCCAAAGGTGGATGGTCTTGGGGGAGGGGAGCATGGATTTCTTCTGGGCTCCATCTGGCATGTGATCTGGAGCTCATTTCTGGTCCAAGATGGCTCCTCTCGGCCTGTCCACCGCTGCGACCCTCTCCTTTCCTGCAGTAACCCGTATCGTCCGGGTGATCAGCCAGCCCCGAGGGAACATGCTGTTGGTGGGCATTGGAGGAAGTGGGCGCCAGAGCCTTGCACGCTTGGCCTCCTCCATCTGTGAATACTACACTTTCCAGATTGAGGTTTCCAGGCAGTACCGTAAACAAGAGTTTCGAGAAGGTGAGTGCGTTCCTGGCCTTGTTTTGTGCCAAGAACGGGGCTGCTTTCACCCCACGCGGCTCCGCTGCCTTGCTGATCCACGGCCCTTAGGAGGTATCCTCTTCCCACAGACATCAAGAAGCTGTACCGCCAGACCGGGGTAGACCTGAAGCCCACCACTTTCCTCTTTGTGGACACTCAGATAGCAGACGAATGCTTCCTGGAGGACATCAACAACATTCTCAGCTCCGGGGAAGTGCCCAACCTCTACAAGTCAGATGAGTTTGAGGAGGTGTGTGGCAAGGGACAAGAAGCAGAAGCGGCCACAGCCACGTCCCCAAGCCATCGTTGTCTTTTTTCGGCTTGGTGGATGCTCTGAATGGCTGGGTAGGCCTGGGTAGACCTCCTCCTCCAACAACAATGAAGGGGTTACCCCAAGCCCCTGACACTGGCCTGTCTCCCAGCGCTTGATGCCTGAAAATGGAGAGGCGGGACCAAGACCTGCTCAGGAGCAACGCTTTGGATGTGGAGGCCACATTCCAGCTGGGCAAGGAAAGAGGCTGTTCCCTTGCTGAAGGGCCCCTGTGGGCCTGGGTCTTCCAAGAGCCTCCAGCAGGTGCTGTTCCGCTCGGCTGGGGCTTCTTCCCCTTCAGGCTGGGGCCGCGGGACCTCTGCTATGATCACACATTGGCAGCAACAGGGCTTCCCAAGTTCTACCCGCAAGAGAGCCTTCGGCACCCTGGAGCTTCTGCTGTGGCCTGCTGAGCTCTTCCAAAGCAGGTCATGCCTCGCAGCGTCTCGCGACTCTTGGCTGTCGGCTCCCTGTTCCTCCCCCAGCCTTCAGTCTCGGTCCTCCTTCTCCCCAGATCCAAAGCCACATCATTGACGCGGCTCGGGCGGAGGGCATCCAGGAGAGCCAGGACAGCCTCTTTGCCTACCTGATCGAGAGGGTCCGGAACAACCTGCACGTGGTGCTGTGCCTAAGCCCCGTGGGGGATCCGTTCAGGTGAGGTTTCAGGGAGGCTGTCTAGACAAGGCAGGCAGAGCTTCTGCTTGGAACAACAGCGACCTCCGGTGGCCGAGGAGCTGCAGGGCTGGCACGCAGGCGAAAGCTGGGCTGGGTCTAGAGGCCGGGGGCCGGGAGAGACCCCTGGCCGAGGCATGGGAAAAAGACTCAAGAGCCTCTGGCTCCAAAGAGGGCTCCCGGTGGAGGGCAGCAGCCGCGTTCACACACAGCAGCGAACCATGGAGCCTTGCCCCCAAATGGCAGGGACTGGACCCTTAACGGAGGGGAGGTGGAAGTGTTTCAGTGAATTGGACACCATTAGCCCTCACAAGGCTTAGAGAACCTCATTTGTCTTTGGAGCCCCCCCTCCCAACTGTAGAAAGCATTGGCTGATGCTTAGACCCACCCACCCACGGGTGGCCCTGGGGCCACAGAAGGCGTGCTGGTGGGACACTTAAGGGCTCCTCCCGGCATTCTGCTTTGCCTCAGGAACCGGATTCGCCAGTACCCCGCTTTGGTGAACTGCACCACCATCGACTGGTTCTCGGAGTGGCCCAAGGAAGCATTGCTGGAGGTGGCGGAGAAGTACCTGGAGGGTGTGGATCTGGGAGCCGTGGAAAAGGGAAGCCTGGACACGGTGAGAGCCTGTGGCCCGTCCAAGAGGGGATTCTGAAAAAACCACCGGGGACTGACGCTTTCCGCTCCCCCTTCCGCCTAGATGCAAAAGCGAGTCGCTAAAATCTTTGTCACCATGCACTGGTCGGTGGCCAGATACTCCCAGAAGATGCTGCTGGAGCTCCGGCGCCATAACTACGTCACGCCCACCAACTACCTGGAGTTGGTGTCTGGCTACAAGAAGTAAGGGGGGGGTCTTTTGGCTCTCGCCAGGGAAGCAGACAGGTGGGATGGTAGAAAACTCCCCCCACCCCGGAGAAGCACCCTGTTTTGGGGATGGGTAAGTCTGGATGGTCCAAGGGCTGGGTCTGGCCCCTGCGAGTGACCCAGTCCTTGGACATTTATCACCGCAGTGTGAGTCTTCTCCTGCCGCCCACTTTGCAGGCTTCTGGCAGAGAAGCGGAAGGAGCTTTCTGACCAAGCCAACAAGCTTCGCAACGGGCTCTTCAAAATTGATGAGACCCGACAGAAGGTGGAGGTGATGACTGTGGAGCTGGAGGAGGCCAGGAGGAAGGTGGCCGAGTTCCAGAAGCAGTGTGAGGAGTACCTGGTCATTATTGTCCAGCAGAAACGGGAAGCTGATGAGCAACAGAAGGTGAGTGTCCAAGGCTGCCACCTCTTTTCCAGCTGAGCCAGTGATGGGCATCAATCTCTGTCCAAACCGCCTCCTCTTCGTCTCTCCGTAGACGGTGACGGCGAACAGCGAGAAGATCGCTGCTGAGGAGATCAAGTGCAAAGCTTTGGCTGACAATGCCCAGAAGGACTTGGAAGAAGCGTTGCCTGCCTTGGAGGAGGCCATGAAGGTACCCAGCCAGAAGACCCACCAGAGGGCACCTCCGTCTGCTTGGGCCACCATACAGGGCCTCTAACCAGCTTGGCACTATTTATTTGCCCACTGAAGGTTTGAAGGGAAGCTGGAACTGGGTTCTGTGGTATGCTTAACCTACAAGGTGGTCCCTATGCTCTCTGCCTCCCCAGGCCTTGGAATCCCTCAACAAGAAGGACTTGACAGAGATCAAGTCCTACGGCCGGCCACCCACGCTGGTGGAGACTGTCATGCAGGCTGTCATGATCCTACGTGGCAATGAGCCCACCTGGGCGGAAGCCAAGAAGCAGCTAGGTAAGGGGTGGTGAGGAGCCCACTCTGAGGACCAACTAGGCGTTAGCTGCCCATTAGGCACCTTGTTTTCCTTGAAGAGAACCCCCATCTCTCAAAGCGCCCTCACTGGGATCTGAGCACTGTTCAGAGTGATTTCTCCTGGGGAGGAGGGGCTGGGTGAGGCAAACCTCCCTGAGCCGGATAGTTTCCAGTCTGGGCTTCTCTGATCCCACCTGGCCTCTCCAGGGGAGCCCAACTTCATCAAGCAGCTGGTGTACTTTGACAAGGACAACATCTCAGACAAGGTCCTCAAGAAGATCAGTGCTTACTGCTCCCAGCCAGACTTCCAGCCAGACATCATCGGGCGGGTCTCGGTGGCCGCAAAGTCTCTGTGCATGTGGGTGCGAGCCATGGAGGTGAGATCCAGGGTGTTGACCGTTAGATGGTTCCACCTGGTCCTGGCACATGGCTTGCTAAGTTCTCCCCTCTCCTGCTGCTCCCCAGATGTATGGACGCATTTATCGGGTGGTGGAGCCCAAGCGTGCCCGTATGAATGCCGCCTTGGCCCAGCTGGCCGAGAAGCAGGCGGCCCAAGCTGAAGCTCAGGAGCGGCTCCGAGAGGTCAGTTCTGTTTTAACAGAAGACGGTCCAGGAGGGCGGATTGGCTATGGAGTTGTGGGAATCCCTGGAGCCCCTTTCATCCAGAAGGGCAGGGCAGGGCAGGGCAGGGCTCCACCTGTTTAGACCCAGGCCAGTCATTCTCCAGGGAACCTGCTCCTGGAGATGGAGGCTGCGGGTAATCTTGTTCTGGAAAATCTTCCACTGCCTCCCCCTCCCATCCTCCCTCTAGGTTGCAGAGAAGCTGGAGATGCTGAAAAAGGAGTACGAGGAGAAGCTGGCTCAGAAGGAGGAGCTGCGCAAGAAGTCGGAGGAGATGGAAATCAAACTGGACCGGGCTGACAAGCTGGTCTCGGGCCTGGCTGGAGAGAAAATCCGGTGGGAGGAAACGGTCAAGGTAGGCCCTGACGTACTGCTCTCTTGGGAACGCCCCCCTGCTTGAAAGGGGTCGGTGGGCCCTGCTGGGTATTCAGCACCCCCTGTTGAGTCCGGGGCCTCCCTTCCAGGATCCAGCCAGGATGAGGTCTCTGGGCTTTGGGGCAGGAGAGGGGCAGAGGGGGTGGAAGAGGGAGAGGAGCTGTTCTTCTGAGACTGCTTTCCTGCAGGGCCTTGAGGAAGACCTGGGCTACCTGGTGGGTGACTGCCTGCTTGCATCAGCCTTTGTGTCCTATATGGGGCCCTTCCTATCCAATTACCGGGATGAGATGGTTTCCCACATCTGGATGAAGCAGGTGAGCCCTCGGGGACCTCCCTCTCTTCTCCTGGTTGGCAGCCGGATCCAGAGTTGGCATTCCCTAGCTTGTCCTCTCCTTCCCAGGATAAGCTCCTCAGGCGTTTGAGCCTTGCTGGTCATGCCTGCCCTGCCCTCCTCCTTAACCAGGGCCAGGTGGGGTTTTGAGACCCAGCCCTTTGTCCCACTCTCCCTGCCTTTGTGAGGAAGGACAGGAATGGCCTCCTTTGCATGATGTGCCTTGCAGGGATTGATCCGGGAGGGTTCCAGGTGGCCAGGGAAGCCCTTGCCTGTGATTCCAAGATGGCCAGGCCCCACCGTGTTCTGGTGCTGGGGAAGAGTGGGCTGGGCTTCTTCAGTTCCTCACAGCTTTGCCCCTGCAGATTCGGGAGCTCCACGTGCCCTGCTCCCCCCTCTTCACATGTGACAGCTTCCTTTCTAATCCAACCATTGTGCGCAACTGGAACATCCAGGGACTGCCGTCCGATGACTTCTCAACGGAAAATGGAATTATCGTGACACGAGGCAACCGGTGAGGCCCAGTCCCTCTGATCCTGCCTCTTGAGGCGTTGAGGGGGCCAAGGAGTCCTGCAGGAGCTCTTAGAGGGTTCCCTGAGGAATCAGAGAGGTTCCAACACTGCCCTCTGCCTTTTGGGTCTCCTTAGGTGGCCTCTGATGATCGACCCTCAATGCCAGGCCACCAAGTGGATCAAGAACATGGAAGCCAAGAAAGTAAGGAGCCACATTTGGCACCCAATCAAAGGTTCCTCCTGGAGCCACCTCCTTCCTTCCTTCCTTCCTTCCTTCCTTCCTTCCTTCCTTCCTTCCTTCCTTCCTTCCTT